AAAAAAGTCAGATAAGCCTATTATCATCATCAAGCTAAAACTCGACAAACCATTCAGGATCATTTGATTTATGTTGAATGAGTGTTTTTAATAAATGAGATGCGTCATATATTATGTCTACTTTCTTATATTTTTGTATTGCATTAGCAAGATTACAGTTGAAAATAGGTATAGTTAGAAATTTTGCTTTTAACAACTTTCGTTAAACGGTGATTGGTAGGTTTTTATATTCAGTGAGAAATTGGATTTCTTTGAGAATGTCATCATCAGAGATACTCTGATATATTAATGAATACTCTTCAATATCAGGAAATAACATATGGTTATGTGAATTGTTAAAGGTGGTAAGGACAATATTTTGAGAATTTTGTGAGCAATTGAAATTTGCATTCCATACACATTGTTGACGTTTTGATTTACGATCTCAATATTTATTAATATTAATTTGTTTTTTTGATTGATAACGGCTGCCAAATTCACATTCAAAACTATGATGCCTAATACTACCATCTTTATGACGAATTAACAGTTTTTTTATAATTGCAAATCTATGCTTTTTACCGTAAGCTTCCATAATAGTATCGATATTTTTTCATATTTTAAAAATACAACCAATATAAAGATTTATAACTAGGATTAAATTAAAATGATATATTAATATAATCTGACTCTGATAAATAGACAAAACGAAAAAAACTAATAATCTCACCTTCATCTTCTGGGTTAAGAGATGTTGTATTATTTTGAACAGATTCTTGGGTATGCAATTTATCAGACATATTCATCTCAATAATAATTGTTTTTTGTGAGTGAAGCAAGAAAGTGCTATGCAAAAAAATGACCACAACCCAAAAAAAGTGACTACAATATAAAGAAAGACGAAGCGAGAAAGCTTTCTATCAGAAATTTAAGTAAAAAATACTGCAACGCAAAAAAAGCGAAGTGAAAAAGTTTCTATTTGTAGTTTGATGATACCATGCAAAAAAATGACCGCAACACAAAAAAAGTGAAGCGAGAAAGCTTCCTATATTAGGAGTTTGAGCAAAAAATGACCACAATGCAAAAAAGCGAAGAATGACAATTCTATTGGGATTTGATTACTGCAATTCTGATTCTAGAGGTAAGACCTTTACACCTTGCTTTTGCACAACTGTCTTAATTCTTTTTTTAGTTGCTGTCATCATTACCGTCCAATCTCTAGGGTAAGTATCTTTATATGATACAATACGAATTTTTTCACAAGAAGCAAAAAAATTTTACTTTATCCAAAAAATGTCTATTACACAAGCATTAATAGCGCACTGCAGTTTTCATGATACATAAATCTGCATCATGTGATACAAACTGCGTTGCTTTGCGTCATATAATAATAATAATAACAGATACAGTTAGTGTAATGCAACGTATTATATCACGTGATTTTTTTTGAAGTTGTTATAAATAAAAATGTATAACATGTTGTTACAAATAGATTTATTCTAAATAATATTACAAAAAAAAGCAATTATAATTGTTATATTTTTTAGTCATTCAAAAGTTTAGTTTGATTACATTTATATTAAATAATAAATATATATAAATTATAAATAAAGCTCTGAATAAGTTAATTTGAATTTGAACTGAAATTTTAATTTAGTTTAGATTAGTTTATTATCTTAAAAATATTAATCTAAATCTGAACTAAACTACAAATTAATAAAAATCTGAACTGAATTGAAATTTTCAAATTAATCTGAATTTCAGTTCAATTATATGTAAAACTCTTAGAAGAATTTTGTAACTTTATTTAAATTTGAAAAGTATTTATAACTTTTACAATTCTTGAAAAGAATTTGCAAATTTTTGCAATTCTTCAAAAGTTTCACAAAAAATTTTATTCTCAAAAAGTTTCATAAAAATGTAATTATCTAAAAAAATTTATAAATTTTTATAATTCTCAAAGAGAATTTGCAAATTTTACAATTTTCTAAAAATTTACAAAAAAATTACAATTTTCAAAGAATTTTGCAAAAATATTATAAATTCTTTATGAGAGTCATATATAATCAAACTGAACTTTTATATTAATTTAAAATTTTTAATTCAATTTAGATTGTTTTCAATTTAGATTAGAATTATAATCTAAAAAAATCTGAACTGAATTGAAATTTTCAGATTGATTTTATGTAATCTAAAATTGAATTGAATTGATTAAACCAAAAAATCTTTAGATTAATCTGAATCGTTTAGAGCTTTAATTACAAATTATTTTAATTTTCTGCTTTAATATAATAGAATTCTCATTACTATTATTTTGCAAATTTATTAAAATAAATAATACTTTAAAAATAAATTTTAAGAATTATTATAAAACTATTATTTTTAATTTTAAAATTTAAAAAAAAAATATTTATTTAGAAATTAGCTATATAAATTAATAAAAATATAATTAAATATAGATAAGATTTTTAAAAAATATCTTAATTGCATTCTGATAAAATTGATAGTATTTAATCATAAAAAATAGAAGATTTAGTTTTATTGTTTAATATTAATCAAATTCAAAGATATAATATATAATTATATGAAGTATTTTATGGACTCATTATAATAAAAGTTTTAAAAAATTTAGACGATCAAATCTTAAGCAATATTCTTTTAGAAAAACTTGAATATCAATGAAACAACTACTTTTTTTATTATCCTTTTACTTTATCTATTATATTATGATTTTAAAGTTAAATTTAACATTAAATTTATTTTATTCTTTTTATGCAATAAAAATAATATTTCTATTATACTTAATCTTAAGAAATCCTAATGTTTTATTATCTGAATTAGAAGAATATCTTGTAAAAAAATATTTATATACTGACATAATTGCAAAATAATTTAAAAATAAAATATTAAAAATTTTGGAATTATAAACAAAAATATTCAAAGGAATTGTATAAATCACAATTTCAACTTATTCTTTGAAATGATTATTTTTTATTATAAGTTGATATCATTTAAAAAGAAAAAATCAATTAAAGTTAATGTTTTTTATTTTATAATTTGTTTTATTTTTATTATTTAATTTAATAAATAATTATATTTTAAATAAGTTAAAAAGGTCTTAAATTAAAGCTAAAATGCAATGTGATGAACAACTTTTACAAATTGATAAAGAAATACAGCAATATAAAAAATTGATTTTAAATCTTTTAAAAATATTAAAAATGATATCCAAATGTTTGATAATGATGAATTTATATCTTTTAATATATCAAATACTGGAAAATGAAAAAAAATGAAAATTTATTAAATAATAGTAAAAAAAAAACTAATGATTGGCAAAATATAATAGCAAGTTGGATTGATCTTATAGATAATAAAATACAAGAATTAGAAATAGAAATAGAAGAAACAAATTTAATCGAAAATTTTGATATTACTGTAAATAATATTTCTCAAATAACACATCCTGTAAATGATATATACAAGCAAAATGGTGATATATTTGTAATAATGTAAACTAACTAGTGATTTGAATAGTTTTGTCATAGGCAAAATTAATAAATAAAATTTATATTTTAGATTTTTATAAATTTTTAATATATTATTTATACATTTTAATTGGTTAAAAAGTGGTTGGAAATTGGATTAAGTCCAATTGTCCAATTGTTTATTTGAACTATTTGGGCTATACAATTGTCCAATTGTCCAATTGCCAACACTGATGTCTGCTATTCCTTTATTTATATCATATTATGTGTACAGGAGTCACTTCTGGATAATCTGATCCAAAACGATCAGACAGTTTGTTATTGGTACAGAGATTTATCAAGTACATGGAACATTGCTATAATAATTGGCGCGATCTAAGTGTTCGTCGAAATTTTTCTTATTTGCATTAACGACAAGTTCGAAACCATATGTGGGCTGATCGTGATCGCGGAGAAAAATGTCCAGACGTTTACGCCGATTACCATTAACATCACGTTCTTTGGCCTCAACGATGATTCGGTACTGTAAAACTGGATAAACATTGGAAAGTAAATATTTGAGGACGGTAGCGAATTCGGCTTGAAATGCGTATTCGGATGGATTGTTAATAGCATTAAGAGCCTGTTGTACAAATATGTGTTGAATGGCGAGATTCTACATGAGACGAAATCACTTAGTCAACTTTTCACTGTTCTATGTAAAACAAATTTACACACAAATGCCTACCTCGATAGTATATTTTCTAACAATCACCGGATGTCAATTTCATCTTTCGTTTGTGGCGGATTCGTTATATAGAACTCAGGCCCACATACCATCGAAAGCATTATACTACGAAGGATCGGTGAAGAACTTTCTATTTCCAATCAACTTCATTTATAGTCCTAGAAGTAACAATTCCTTCGATATAGCTCATCATCCTCATCGCCACACTTTACCGTTTACCAAAAGCAAAAGAAAGTAACATATTAAATCAGCAACTGACAAGTGGCTGGACTCACCTTATAAGTGTAAGATCCATAGCAGAAAACCATCCCAACGATGTCTGTCTGTTTCGATGAAAGGTGCTTGATGGCTCGAATAATTGATCTATATATGCCCAGCTCTTGGGGTTGGATCGGTCCGGTCCAAGATTTGTTTCCTTCTCGATTCAGACTGATTTATACGACTGGTCCAAGAATCGGTTTTAAAAAAATAGTCATCTGATATATACATATTTAATGATTAAGTTAATAAAATAATGTATAAATTTAATAAATATAAAAAGTATAATAATAATAATAATTGCATACAAAACGATTACTGCGCCTTCTTAATCTCGTTATTCCTCCATTTCCATTTCGGACATTATCGTTACAGTAAAATGTTAGGACAGGTCCAAGGACTGACTTATGGACCGGTCCGTTCCATAAGAGAGATGAAAACCGGACTGGTCTTACCAGGACCGATCCATGACCCTTAGTGAGTTCAAAAATGTCTTCAGCGATCCGTCTTATGTTAAGGTTGAGTCCATAATGATCGCTGTATTCACTAAGAAGCATTTTGATCTCCTCTTCATTAAAAGAAGTCGGAATTGATGTCCCAGTGATTTGCTGTCCCAGCTATATGTGCCAGCTGTATGTCCCAACCTGTCCAACACTATGTCCCAAATGTCCATCTATGTCCCATCTATGTCCTATCAATGTTCCATGACAACACTGACTAGACGTAAACTCAATTTGAACTGGCAACTGACCGACCCCCACTAGTGCAAATGAGTGTACACAATAAGTTGAGTGGTCCTTGAGAAACTGCAATATATTGACGAATTCTTTAATAATTTCAGGATTCTTATCAAATAGATTAGAAAATTCGTCAATTATGAAAGTAGTAGGTCATGATCTATCTGTTTTTCAAAGAAACTCAAGAAAATATACTATGCAATCCTTTGTATCGTCAAAAGAAAATCGTTTCCTATTCCTGCTCGAAATATTTTACATACGGACTTCCAGTACCGTTCTTGGCATCAAGTCCAACATTGAAAGTGGCAACGTAAATCTTGACAGAATATAGTTGCCTGGATTTTAACAGATGGCAAACTTCGAAACCCTATATTTCGACGGATTTGCTTATAAGATGTTATATGCATATAACTTTAAACGGGATTTGATTATATTTTTCCAATAAGATTAATTTTAGCTTTGCCAGTGTAATCTTGCCAGGGAACTAGACCGGGAAAAGGAAATTAATCATCATTTGATTTTTCTTTGGATGTAATTTGCCGTTGCCATAACAGATGTTGTTTTATCACTCTGGCGATACCCTTCTATAAAGATATGGTGTCCTTTAATGAGAATCTGTCCCAGATCCTTGATTTTATTTTCAGGAGCAATGTAGAAATTGGTATGCTCATTTGCTTCGGTGCCTTCTGAGAAATGCTCTGGATTGCATTCTAATCCGAGCTTTAAAACAGATATTTTTTGTAACTTACTAAAGTTTGGTGATTTTAATCTTCCTATTTTTTTTAACAGAATTAGAAGTTGAGGGACTTTCTTCTTGGGTCCGTTTTTCTGGAACTTTGTTTACTTTTCCTTTGCACGGGATACCTATAATAATATAGTACTGAGTAAAGATCCTTAACATAAGGTACATAGCTAGAATCAGCAGACCTTAATCAAAGAATCTCATAAAAAGATGTAGATTGGAGCTTTTGCCATTATTCTGGGTGTCTAAGTTTACGTGAAACAACATCTGCGGATTTCTAAACTAAATAACTTCTATCCTAATGCGGGCCCCGTCTAAAAGCGGAGTTTTGGCCGGAATTATGGCATTAGGAAATTAATCATGTGACGAATAAGGTGGCCTGACAAATAGGAATTTGCACGCGAAGTTATTAAAAAAGTTTCTTTTTCAAATATTATTAGTCGTCGCAATCGTAGAATTAATTGTTTGCAGATCCCTTTATCTGCAAGTGATGAACGTTTTAAATAAAAATCAGTAAAGCGAATAGGTAAACTTAATAAGTATTTTGGCATTGCTATAACCACCCAAAGGTTGATTTTTCTTCGCAAGGGAAAAATAGCAAGCTATAACCAACCAAAGGATGATTTGTCTTCGCAAGAGAAAAATAGCAAGAGGCCTTTCAATACAATAAGAGCGTTTGGTAGTCACGAACGATCCACACGTATGCGTCATCAGTTCTCCAAACTAATGAAAGCATGTAAAGGCCATGCAATCCAGAAGGAGACCTCAGCAAAGAGACGGTTTGGCGTCGTCGTTAGATTATAGAACGAGGAAATACTTTACGACATATAAAGGAAAAAGCCAACAAAACAATTTTTTTTTTATTTTTATCATTTTATGTACCAGTATTTCTAAAATATTTCTTATTTTTTTTTTTTTTTTTTTTTTTTAACGAGAGAGAGTTGTGAGAAAATGAAGAAATGTAAAGGTGTTTATTATTTTTTGATCGCGTTGAATTTCTAAATTGGGGGTTCGATCACGATTTTTAGCAAAAGACAGGTGACGTGACAATATTTTGCAAAGTCACGTGATAGAACCATCCCGGAATTCTTTTATATTTTTAGAACATAAAAAAAAGAACTGATCAGCGGTAATTAGCCGAGGAAATCCGTTTTGTATATGTTTTTTAATCAATTTCTTTTCGAGGATACAATAACAACAATAACAATTAATTTGAAGAAAATAATTATAAATAAGATGAGAAAACAAATTAACTTGAAAACTTCAACGATAATTTTTTTTGATAACCTTTTCAAAGAAAAAAAAAAAAAACGAAAAAACCTCACATTTCAACCTAAATTCTTTATATTACCTTTTGTTAGTTAATCATGGATAACAAACTAAAATACAAGACCGGCGAAAAAGGAATAAAATATGTTCCAAAATACGACCTACATGGTTGTACTAAAAAACAAGCATGTAAAGAAGTATATAATGTAATCTTACAATGTTTTGAACTCGAAATAAGCTCAATAACTTTCATTACTGGCAGAGGAAATCATCAAAATTTAAATGGAGAACGAGCGGTGCTCTTCAAAAATTTTCCAGTATGGCTAAACGACCCAAAGATATCAAGCTTGATTAAAGATTGCAAACCTGGGGATGGATTTTACAAAGTTCTTCTTAACATTGAGGAAAATAAAAATGCTAAGAAAAATAAGAAAAGTAAGAAGGATAATAAGGCAATTAAAGAAATTAAGAAGAATGTTAAAGAAATTAAAGAAATTAAGAAGGATGTTAAGGAAATTAAGGAAAATAGGAAGAATGTTAAGGAATTTAAGAAAAATAAGGAGAAGGTTAAGGAAATTAAGGAAAATAAGCTGGTTAAGAAAAATAAGAGGAAGGTTAAGGAAAATAAGAAGAAAGATGAGGAAATGAATAGTGCTAAAAGTATTGAGAGTGTGGAGGTGGCGAATATGGAGAAGAAATATGTTGAAAAGAACAATTGCGTTAAGGATGAACCGAAAAAGAGTAGTATATTTACGAATGTATTTGAACGGATTTCTGTGTTATTTCAATCATTTCGATCTGGTATTTCGAGCTGTATGTCGAGGATCTGTATGATGATTAGGATATGATCGCCATTTACTTTTTTGGACAATTTTCATTCATTTCATTAAATAGATTAAATAGATTAAATAGACATACAATCTGTTATATAAATTACAAATTTCATAATAAACATACATAATCTTTTTTCAAAAATAAATAAGCAAATGTTTTCAATAAAACGTCCGATTTTTAATAACCTGTGCTTGAATTCGTCAATAAACAGTTTTCTGCCGATATTTAAATCAAATATTCGAATAAAAAGGACAAAGCATAACCATTTTTCTTCAAGTTTGCTTATACAAGAACAATTTTCTCCTCCTCCTTCACAACCTTCTTCAAAGAATAATGAAACTTCAACAACAAAGCCAATAAAGAATACACATTTTTCACAATATTATTTTAATACGTATAAAGTTGTTAAAGACTTTGAAGGACAAGGTTTTACTAGAGGTCAAGCCAAGGCTATTATGAAAGGTATGGAAGCTATATTAATTAATAGGTACGAATTTAACTTTTGAATTCTTTTTCAAAATTTAATGATTAGATTGTTTAATCAAATCATTTTTTTTTTTTTTTTTAGTTTTAAGATACAGTCAAAGTTATTATCGAAATCAGATTTAGAAAATGTATTTAACCCTCAAAAGTATCATCATTCATTTAACTATATAATTTTTTTTTTTTTTAACATTTCTTCTCTCTCTCTCTCTCTCTCTAAACAAAAAAAAATAAAATAAGGAATCATATTTATTTAAAGCAGCATTAACAGATCTTCGTACAGAAATGCAGATGATACGTAAAAATAATTTAATTGATCTAAATTCAGAAAATTCTCTGATGCAAAGAGAAGTTACATCAGTCTATCAAAAATTTCAAGATGATATCGGTAAAATGAAACATTTCATACAATTAGATATAAATAATTATAAAGCTGATATAAGAGAAGAACAAAAAAAATTGGAAATCAAGATTCAAGAAATTAATAATAAATTTACTATTACTTATGGAGATATACGCACTGATGTTGAAGCATTAAAATGGGAAACTACTAGGATGGCATTAAGTATATTATTGAACTTTTTAGTTATTTGATCTTTTATATCGTTAATTGATAAACCGTCTAATTAAAAAATTGATGAATTGATTTTCTCTGTAGTGGGAATCTTTGGAACAGCAGTTTTTGCTCTTGGTGTGATGTTTTTTATTTCCTATAAAAAGTCAAAGGAAATTTCAACCATAAAAAACGCTAAATCTAATAATGGATCAGCTACAAATGAAATATTATTAAATTATTAAATCAAAAGAAAACTTGCAATCATTTAATATTTGAAAAAATAATTTTTCTGACATGTTGCATTAATTTATAAATTAATAGATTCGGTAATTTTTTATTCACAAATTACAATAGCGTTAAGATAATAATACAAAAATTTATAAAACTAGATAACATATAAAAAATTTGAAACTCAAACTCTCAAAACTTTCTTTGAATTCATGAATTCGACAGAGTTGAACTTGATGAAATACTGCCAGGTCTTTTTGGTCTTGGATTTGCCCCAGCAGAGCGTGCAATTATACCTAAAACATCCGTCAAGCTTACAAGTCCTATAGCTTGCATTTTATCGTCTACAACCCAAACTCTATGCGCTTTAGTAGCCACAAGTTTAGCAATCGTGTATCCCAATGTGGATGTTAACCGAACATCAAAGACTGGAAATCTGTCTTTTCCATCTTCTAATCCTTGTCTGATTCTCACATTATTAACAAATTGTTTACATGTTTTCCACATCAGAGAATGACTATAGCTTCTAAGAATGTACTAGTTAAAGTTAAATTAAAATGGTCAATAAATTACCAATTCGGTTTAAGTAATTCAGAATAAAAAAATTCTTGAACAAACTTTAACATCTGTCATACTAATATTTCCCAGTAGAACTCCATCATCGTTAACAATAGCAATTGAACTTAATGAATTTTTATCTTTAATTAAAAGTTTTTAATTATTATTAATAAATAAATCAAAATAATTAAAGTAAAATAAAAGGTGTTTAACGGCTTACTCATCATTGTTAATGCGTCAAGTACGAAAGAATCTGCTTGGGCAGATATCACAGTGCTTCTGCCAATATCAAGATCTTCAATCTGTAATTTAAATTATGTGAGCGTTTTAATAAATCTGACAAAAAATTGGATTATCGTAATACAAAATACGTTACAGTTTTGGGGAAAAGTTGTTCGATTTTAGGAAATTTCGTCACCTAAAAAAAAATAAACGAATAAGAAAAAATTATTAGCAGTATTTTTTTTTATTCCTCTTAGATCTATTTAATCCGATATTTATAAAATATAATATATATATAATGTATCATACATTATCATATAGGTAATTAACAACTCTTGACTGAGATAAAATGCCCTTCATGTTGCCATCCGCATCGACAACGACAACTAAATTAAGCGTAAGATTTCATATGAATTAAGCAAATTAAAAAAGGTTTTACGAAAAAAAAAATAAAAAAATATTATTAATACCTCTATGAGTTCCACTACCAAATAATTCAACGACTTGTAGCAATGAAGTTTCGGGATATACCGAATAAAAAGGATTTTTGTTGGATAAATCTATGAAATTTCTTAGATTTATTACCATAGAAAATTATTAGAGGAACATTAGATTTTATTTTAAATTACCTGAAGCCAATTTAACAGGAACCGGTTGACATTGTATTGCCAATTTCAATAAATCATTGAATTCGGATGTCAATTCTTCATCAGATTTTTGTTGCTGTTCTAAAATATCCTTCTTTTTCAAAACAATTAAAAGATAGGTCATGACATCCGCCCAATCAAACATTCCAACATAAGTTTTGGTTTTATTGTCATAAACTGGAGCAGAAGATATATTATTTTTAATAAGAATCTATAAACAAAGTACAAACGCTTAGTTAAACATAATATTCGAACAAATAAATAAATAAATAAATCCTTACATCACAGGCTTCTTCTATTGCAGTTTCACCGTCACTTGAGGAGAAAAAAGAGGACATGATTATTCTGATCGTGATTAATAAATGCAACCA